AAAAAAATAAAAATGGATAGTTTCGAGAAAATTGGGACCGGGACTGGGGTTAATTACCTAGTGTGAATCCAGTGAATAATTACCATTGATGCTACTGGGTGATAAATGGGCCATAAATAATTTATTTTTCCGCCCTAACTATCACTTTTTGTACTATAGTACCGACCAACGAATTTATTTAGTCAATAGTCATATTTCGTAGATTTTATAAATATTATTTTTATAAAAGAAACGAAAGAGAGGAAGGTAAATAAAAATTCGAACAAGAACCCAAATGTATTTGTACAAATGACTTTCTTATTATTTTCTTCTCCATCTTTAATTGTAAGGTATAATGAATTTTTTTATTGTAGTAAAATTAGAGTAATAACAATCACATACCGTGTTCAACTATCAACGAGATGTTTAACACACATATTAAAAATTGATGGGACATAAATAATTTAGATCGCATCGTACTAATCAATTATTTCTCATTCGTTCATGGTTTTCATTAATCTTAAGATGAAAATTTACGATGCACTGAGTGTGCTTAAAAATCACGTAACATTAAAAATATATATGTATAATATATATAATATGTATAAATTGTCGAGTCGTTTAGTTTTTTTTATTTTTTAATATTTTTTTACGCTTTTTCTATTTTCCTATAAATATTTATCTAAAAATCTTGGTTTTTTTTTTGTGGCAAATCAAAAAATCACTTTTATAGATAAACCAATTCGTAATAATTCTCATTACGGTTTTTAGAAATAATTCAAACTTCATTGCAATTTCATAACTATGAAAGTTCAACATATTAAAAAAGAATTTTTTACTTTCATTTTTTTTCTCTTTCATTATTTATTATTCATTTTTAGGCACCAATGGTATGCGGACCCTGTCTTTGGTACATACGACCGATTCAATTTTTGTTTTCATTAATAAAAAGGAATTAATTGAACATTGTGGACACAAGAAACATTCGTGTCTGCGATAAAACTGAGTGTTATTCAGTTTTGTTCCTTCATTTTGTTCTTTTACATTTTCACGTTACCAGTTGAACGTTTTATATTCGATTTGAGTGTTTTTCTTTTCAATTATTAAAGAAAAAAAGAGAAAAAAAAACTAATAAATTGAGATAGGAATTGAACGAATTTTTAGGGTAAAATTCGTTATTATGACAACACTTGTGTCCCGATATGCACGTTCCTGGTGATATAAAAAAAATACAGTCTCAGTCTTCTTCCTTCTTCTCAGGTTTCAAGTCCACCATTGCGTGAAGTTCTTCCGGACTGTATCTAGAATAAGCAATAATAAATTAATGACCTGTCGATTGAC